CTTTGATTAATATTTTACGATGTATTTTTTCATCATGATGTGCAAAAAATTGCAATTTATAATACTTTTCGTATAGTTTTTGAATATGTTAATTTTTTATTTAAAATATCAAATTAATGTAATTTAATTTAATTTTTAAAAATTAGTTAAATTAACTTTCGAATAACGCAACATAACAAATAAAAGTAAATTTCTCGTCACCACTGACTCCATCTATTGCCACGTGTTCCTAGCGCTTACTACTAACTTATCACCTTGATCACTTCTCTTGATCCTTCTTACCCTTATGGAGTTTCATTATTTTCCAAAATTTTGTTTGTTACTCTGCTCTTCTCAATTCTTCATTCTGAATTGATGGGGTTCTTCCATTTCTTGAATACACAGCTTACTACAGTTTTTCAGGTCAATCTGAGTGTTATTTCTAATTATATGGATGGTAAAGTTAGAATCTTTAGTTCAATTCTTCAATTTTGTAAGCTCTGTTTTCTTGAACCAGTAAAGTGTTCTTCAGTGGTCACTCATGAATCATTTGACAAGAAACAAGAAAAAGCTGTGTATGTTTATGATAAGCCAAAACACAAGAAAACAAGTAGAGAGCCTAAGGAATGGAGGTGTATAGATAACTGTTTTTGGATAATTGGATGCTTGTGTATAACTTGGTGGCTACTTTTATTTCTATGCAATTTTTTGCCTGCTATTTTGCCAGGTTTTAAATTGGCTGAATTACCTGGGAGTAGGCTAAAAAATGAAGGGTTGAATGCTCATCACCCTGTTGTTTTGGTGCCTGGGATTGTAACTGGTGGTCTTGAACTTTGGGAAGGCAAGCCTTGTTCTAAAGGATTATTTCGTAAGAGACTTTGGGGTGGTAGCTTTGCTGAATTATTCAAGAGGTTTGTCTTTGTAGACCCCGTTAATTTCACGTATGATCATTGAACTTCAACAGTAAAATTACACCGTCCCAATTTATGTGACACTTTTAATTTTTTTGAGACTTATATTATGTGAAGTTTGACTTCCATTCTACTGACTCGATAAAAAATTTAGAATTTTAAAATCTTAAGTTGATCTAATTCAGTTTAGCTTAAAAAATTAATCAATTTGAATCTCGAGAAGCAAAACATGCCACATAAATTGGAAGGAGGGATGGAGTAACAATACTAGGCTCTTTGTGTCTGGTAATTGGAATGAGTACAATCTAAACCTGAGCATCCATTGGAGGCCAGGTCTGTGTCCAGCTTTCATAGCATATATTTAAGTTGGTTTGGTTAAAAAGCTCGTAGTTGGACTTCAGAGTGACTAACTTTATTATATTAGTTCGTAGTTGGACTTTAGAATGACTAACTTTATCTATTAATATAATATTTAAGTTACAAAGTTATGTTTTGTCACGTTAAGTAATTGTATTTTACCAGCTATAACGGTAAAGTTCAGTGATCATTCGTGAAATTAACCATTGCAGAATTGGAATTACCTTTGATTCAATCGGATAATGTGGAGTTTTAAATCTGAGTTGAAAATCTTTTCTGCAATTGAATTAGGCCATTATGTTGGTTGGAGCACCTATCTTTGGATAATGAAACTGGGCTTGATCCACCGGGAATTCGAGTACGTGCAGTTACAGGATTAGTAGCAGCTGATTATTTTGCTCATGGTTATTTTGTTTGGGCTAATCTTATTGAAAATTTGGCAAAGATTGGCTATGAACAGAAGAATATGTATATGGCGTCTTATGACTGGAGGCTATCCTTCCAAAATACAGAGGTATTAAATTATTTTCTTCATTTCTTCATTTTTACTATTACGTACTGTTTTCGTTGCTACTATAATCCTGTAACTGCAAGCAAGTTGGAGTCGACCGTATGAATCCTAGGTCACTCCATTAGTTGCAAATATTTTTAATAGACATATCAATATTTTGAATGAAAGAAAAAATTGTTTCTTCGTACATTTAGTTGAAAAAGTCTCAGGAAATTCGAGAATTTCAGGTTGTTATCCTTCTTGAGGACATTGTAGAGATAATTCTGATACAATTTTAAAATTTGGAAACAAGCAGATCAGAGACCAATCTCTGAGCAGGCTAAAGAGAAAAATTGAGCTTTTGTATGTTACAAATGGTAACAAGAAAGTGGTGGTAGTGCCTCACTCAATGGGCGTCAACTATTTTCTCCACTTCCTGAAATGGGTTGAAGCACCTCCCCCTGTTGGAGGGGCTGGTGGCCTAGGTTGGTGTGCCAAGCACATCAAAGCAATCATGAATATTGGTCCGGCATTTCTCGGAGTACCAAAGGCTGTTGCTAATATATTGTCTGCTGAGGGAAAAGATGTTGCGTTTATCAGGTTTGTAATATAATTTATCCATAATTATCCTCTCTTATGTTTTTAGTTAATTCTTAATGGCAGCAACTACCTAGGGAAGTTCCTTTTTTTTTTTGTAAAGACGTCATTTTGATCTGCTGCGAAGTGTCATTTGCATGGTCTATTTTTGCGTTATAATCACAGAAATGAAATTTCAACCAAGACAAATTCCTTTACTCTCTTTGTTTTCTGTATATAGGTTGGTCTATCACTGGTTAGTTTGATTTTGAGAAAGCACTTGTCATCTATAGATTTCGGATAAGTAATACTGCATGCAGCACCTCCAATTTTTCATTTGAAGGAAATTCAATACTACATAGGTTTTACCTAACTGTTTGAGAGATGTACGTTCTTCAGTAGTTAAAATTCTCGATTTACGTTTTCTGTCACAAAATTTCTTTTGAGTTTATAATTGAAGGCACCGGTGAAGCTGGAATTTGATTCTTTTCTACTAGCAAGTGAGGTACTCATCACATTTACTTTGCAGAGCCATGGCTCCTGGTCTGTTCGATTTGGAAACCTTTGGTTTTCAAACCTTTCAACATGTTATGAGGGTATTTCGAACATGGGACTCTGTCATTTCATTGCTACCGAAAGGAGGAGAGACAGTCTGGGGTGATCTGAATAGGTCCCCAGAAGAAGAAAATGTATGTCATTCAGCAAAGACACAATACCTGCATTCCTCTTCAAAGGAGAGCAATGGAAATGATACTGACACTCGGAGGAGTATCCAGGAAAAAGAACTGGCAAAATATGGAAGATTAGTGTCATTTGGGAAGGTAGCATCTGAGATACCTTCGTCACAACTCTCTTTAATAGATCCAAAGGTAAAAGCTATGAGTTCTACCTTTTTATCTTATATTAATATTCAGAAAAAACACTCTTTGATCAGACATACCTCTTATTCCCTTTAAATGTGATTAACAATGGAATGAGTGGTTTTATAACAGGAAATCTTGTATGAAAACGCACCCATTTCCAGCACATCATGTGAGGAGTTGATGACAGAATATGATGGGATGAGTCAGGAGAGCATCAAGAGAGTGACTGAAAATAAAGCCTACACGGCAAGAACTCTAATAGATCTTCTCAGGTTTGTAGCACCAAAGACGATGCAGCGTGCTGAGTCACACTTCTCCCATGGATTAGCAGATAACTTAGAAGACCCAAAATATAGTCATTATAAGTACTGGTCAAATCCACTTGAAACAATGTAAGTGTGAACAAGTAGTGAATTTACTATCCCCCTTTTTATTTTTCCATCAAATGCACCTCTGTGACTTCACTTAATCCCAGTGCAATAAGTCAATCATGCGCTAATATGATGAAGCATGCTTCATTTAGGTCCCTTGTGTTTCTTAGTATGTTAATAGTCAGCATCATTTTTCAGGTTGCCAGATGCTCCGGATATGGAGATCTTCTGTTCATATGGAGTGGGAATTCCCACCGAAAGATCATATGTCTACAAGATATCACCTTCTGATAGATGCAAGAGCATTCCTCTTCAAATTGACATCTCTGCAGATGGAAGTGACAATGATTGCTTGAGCGGTGGAGTATACTTTGTCGATGGCGATGAAAGTGTACCAGTCGTGAGTGCTGGCTTCATGTGTGCAAAAGGATGGCGAGGCAAGACACGTTTTAACCCCTCGGGCATTGCTACTTACATAAGAGAATACCAGCACAAGCCACCAGCTAGTTTGCTAGAAGGGAGAGGCACAGAGAGTGGTGCCCATGTTGACATTCTGGGGAACTTTGCCTTGATAGAAGATGTTCTACGAGTTGCTGCTGGTGCCTCAGGTACAGAGTTAGGTGGTGATAGAGTTTATTCGGGTATCATGGAAATGTCAAAACAGATAAATATTCAGCTATGACATCAAAGATGTTTTGATACATGGATGAAGAACAAAGTAAAGGTCAGAGGGAAGAGTTCAAAAGATATTGGGAGTAAATATGAGTACACTAGTGCTGTTACTAGCACTGCGGAACACAACTTAGGAGAGGAACTTGAATGACTTGAGACACAGCCCCACGAAAGAATCACCGCAAGTCAAGTTGGTAACTGGGGCACCGTTGGCATTGATTGTAAGTTTCTAACTCAAAGAGTAGCATTTCTGACTTATCTAATCTAATTCTCAATTTTCTATAGCCAAGTTGAGTAAAACTCTGGTCGCCTTAAATTGTTTAGGTCTGAGGGGCGTTGATCAGTGTCGCTACTTATGCAAATTTCTGTTACGGATTACATTGACGATTGACCTCAACTTAATAACATTTGCATGGGCATCACTTGTGAAATTTTTAAAATTCTGTTTTGCTAAGAACTACAAAAGCAGAGAAGAAATTAGATGTTTGAATATCACTTCAACCGTTAACTGCTGAAGAAATACTTACACGATTGATGCAGTCTTGTTTTTATTTTTTCTACTAACCAGGTTCCATTTAAGAGAAACTAGAGTACCATCTCAGGTTCGAAATTCCAAAATGAGTGTGATGTATCTCCTCTTACAGATGGCCAGATGGGAAAAAAAATGTATGTTCTGTGAGAAAAAACCAGCTTAAAATCCCCACTACCAACAAGAAAATCGTCTCCTTATGTATCATCTTGGGGTTGGCAAGCAATAAATAAAATCCAAAGACAGCTTATATCATAGAACAAAGCTTGCTCTTTCCATTGACCACCAAATCCAAAATTCTATGAAGGTATAAACAAACTAGTTAGAAATTATTTCCTTCTCATAGAAGATCAGAAAAACAAGTTTTAGTTTGTCCATGATAAATAAACTTAAGCGGATATACGGACAACAAAAGAAGAGTACTGAACGTGAACTCCATGTTTTTCCTTTCCACCAAAGAGTAACCCAAACGACAGTACCATGCAGCAAAATTGGATTCTGAGTCCTGCCCGATTTCATCATGATACATGCAACCGTGTCATCACCACCAACCTCTGGAACTATTCTACAAGTAAACAGCGAATTGGGCAAACTGCACAACGCTTACAAGAATTGTTGGATGGAATGGCGATAACCTCCACATGGGACAGTTTTCCAAGCCACCTAGTTTCAATGCCAGATACCTAAACAGTAAGCTGGGACGAAGGCTCATGGAATCAATCAGAACCATGTATTGCGAGTGAAGAAGAAGAGATTCGCCAGGATGTTAAACCAAGCCAACACTTGTATATTGTGCCACTTCTACAACATCAGCCAAACCACTTCTCCACGGGTCCTTTCAGAGAGATATAACGTCATTCCCTTTTAGCTGTATTACCCCTAGATTGCCCAGATAAATGATGAGCATGCATCTTACTTCATCGTGTTAAAATTTATCAATCTTGGATCTTTCATGAGTTCTCCTCCCGCAGTATACCTGTGTCATTTACTTTGAAATGAAGATTGTATTAGCAGCTTAGCAAACATTTCTCTTTTCATATACAGTAGTATCTAACAACCATGGAAAAAAGATATAGAGTAAAGATAATTCTGAATTCATTTATGAATCAGTAAGTGGAACAATAGATGGATCTGAAACCAAATACAGTCAAATCGCCAAACACCAAACAGGAATGAGAATTCTCAAGCACGTCTGAATTCCATATAGGATGGTAACAAGAGAAAAAATAGAAAAAATCTTACTTGGTGTATTTGCAACAGTAGTGCAACATTTTATCAACATCTCCTTCATTCACATAGCATCCCTCCATAGAAAGGGCTCCCTTCATGTGGTCGTCGAGGGTTCTCCATCGACTTAAAATTTCAACAATTCCGTTTAGCTATTCAACGATGAAAGAAAACAGAGAATTCGGAAGCTAACATATAAATCAATCAATTATGACCCAATTCCAAACTAGTGGTGTCCGCTATGGGAATCCTCCATATCCGGTGCGCTCTACTCAGGCACATTCCATTCCAACACTACCAGAACGTAACATCAGTTTAGAAAAAGAAATGCGGACACTAGTGAGGAAAATTCTTTTATCTTCAACAAAAAAAAAAAAAAAAATTTTTTCTAAATATTTGGATCTTTCATGAGTTCTCCTCCCGCAGTATACCTGTGTCATTTACTTTGAAATGAAGATTGTATTAGCAGCTTAGCAAACATTTCTCTTTTCATATACAGTAGTATCTAACAACCATGGAAAAAAGATATAGAGTAAAGATAATTCTGAATTCATTTATGAATCAGTAAGTGGAACAATAGATGGATCTGAAACCAAATACAGTCAAATCGCCAAACACCAAACAGGAATGAGAATTCTCAAGCACGTCTGAATTCCATATAGGATGGTAACAAGAGAAAAAATAGAAAAAATCTTACTTGGTGTATTTGCAACAGTAGTGCAACATTTTATCAACATCTCCTTCATTCACATAGCATCCCTCCATAGAAAGGGCTCCCTTCATGTGGTCGTCGAGGGTTCTCCATCGACTTAAAATTTCAACAATTCCGTTTAGCTATTCAACGATGAAAGAAAACAGAGAATTCGGAAGCTAACATATAAATCAATCAATTATGACCCAATTCCAAACTAGTGGTGTCCGCTATGGGAATCCTCCATATCCGGTGCGCTCTACTCAGGCACATTCCATTCCAACACTACCAGAACGTAACATCAGTTTAGAAAAAGAAATGCGGACACTAGTGAGGAAAATTCTTTTATCTTCAACAAAAAAAAAAAAAAAAAATACTTCTGAATATATATGAAAAGGATACAGCAAATGTTCTTGCTGTTAATTTGGTGGAACTTCTATGGTCTTCGCTGGAATCATCAACATTGCAGATAAGAAGTTCATCCTCAACCACCTCTGACTTGCTTGTGAGAACTGAGACATGCTGGTGCAGCTTTGACGGATCAGTTTTTTGAATTCGCACCAGCAACCTTGCAAGAATGCTCCAAATTGCGCTCCGTGCTTCAATATCATCAGAAGCAAAAGGAAACACACCAAGTAGACCCTGTAAGAAAGGTGTGTCTGAAAAGATCCAAGTGTCATTACTGATTCGATAAATTGACATAAACTAAGGCCAAAAAAAATCAGGCAAGCATATGTTGGTGTAATTATGAACTCACCCTGTGATATCTCTAAAGCCAGATCAGTTGCATCAGTCAGAATATTTGCTGTCAAAACTGAAGCAGTAACACAAGAGTTGGCAAACTGCAGGCAATGCATATATTAGGAAATAGCCTCTGCTTAAGGACTCAAATATTGCAGTAATATTTCTGCACTACCTTATTCTTCTTCTTTTTGGGGGATAAAGTTCTATGCAGCCTACTTTATTGTTTACTTCCACATTTTGTTCTCTCAAGTTGTTTGATAGATGCGTAATAAGGGAAACTGTGCTTTCACTGATCTTTGGCTCAATTTGAGATACGTAAGGATAAAAATGAGAAGGCTCTGCAAGCTGTTAACAGCATACCTCAGCTTTATCTGGATGCTTGATCAATTGAACAAGTAGTTGGAAGAGTTCCTTGTTTGAGCAGATTTCTTGTGAATAATCATCAATGACTGAAAGCGCTTCAACAGTCTGAAGAATCGAATCTAGAATGGAATACCTGATGTAGCACATAACCACTATATCAGTTGATCAGTGAACTGCAAACACAGAGGTTCACCACAATGATAATTGAAAGGAAAGCCTCATGCATGGGCATGAGGGGGGAAGGAGGATGACTGCAAAAATGATGAGATGCAATCTGTTTCTATGTTATATAATTCCCAATTCTTGCACAGAGAAAACCTAGTAATGTGAACTCCAAAAAGTAGAAAATCTATTCACCACACACGATACGAATAATGTTTAACATGGAAAAATATTAAAGAGAAGTACAACATGCCAAGGAATAAAGTCCTGAAGAATTGTGGCACAATAATCAGCAATCATATTAGCAGAAAAAAAATTTAGCAGTGAATGGAGAATGAATTAAACTACTCCTAGAAAAGGCCATCCCAAGATAAGAAAAGACCAGACCTTTCAGGTGATCTTTCTTCAGGGGTTAACTTGCTTATCTCAACAGATAGGAGATCAACCAGACTCCGTGGGAGATCTAATTTTATCAGTGGTGGTAGCAGTATTGCAACCACATCCTGCTTACTTTCTGCTATTGCTAAGAGAAGATTAATGCTCTGTAGACAAGAAAAAATTACATCAGATGCAAATGCTGAGCAATAGCAGAATAGAAAGCAGCACAAAGACCATTAAAAAGAATAATAGGAGAACATTTCAGAAGGACAAAAGATGGTATTAGATCTCTTTCAACAAAATTAACAGATTAGGAACTTAATGACTTTATCTATCGGACAGATACTATTTCCAGATACCATCCTCGAATTGCATTTGATTCAAAGACAGTTGCTATGCCGCTAACCATAAAATAATCTTTATATTACAAAAAGAAATTCAACCCTTTCGCAAGTCCTAGAGAAGTTATTGGTAGAAGTATTTGGAAGTGTGTCATCTATGAATCAGTGATGGTAAAAAAAATGATGATGGTGACCACAATAACAATGAGTATGCTACTTTAGCATCAAGTTTGTCTTTGGAAGGAGACATTTATTTGATTTAGGGTGAAAGTCAGAGAAATACAAACAAACGCCATATATACTCATCCAATAAGGAACATATATATCACTTTTTAAATTGCAAGACCCAGATTCAAGAAAGTCAGAAGCAAGCTAGAGAGACAATACTGAAAAATGAAAAGCTACATGGAAAATTGAAGCGAGTCATTGCTACCTTCTCAAGAAGCTGAATGTTCAAAGTGTTCTCTACAATCCATAAAATACGACATAAAATATGTTCAGGTTGCAGTGCTTCTGCCAAAAAACCACTTTCGTTGCTTGGAAGAAATAAAGTTATCAGCCTGTAGGCAATGCCAACTATAAGAAAATTTGATCGAAAACTATAGGAAACTATGATGCATCTTATCACATGTTCCTAGAATAGAAAACAAACTCCCATACATTACTATACTGAACTGGGATCATCAAGTCAACGGTAGAGGACTTTCACAGTGACATAATGTGGGTTGCAATTAAAAAAAAAAGTAATACTTAACAGTAACAAACATAACTATGATTTCAGATTAACAGTAACAAGCATAAGAATGATATCCTCCATGAGAGCATTGTAATATAAATATTACTACCATTTATATTGCCCCCAATCCCCCAAAAGAAGGTTGAAAGAAAAAACAGTGTGGGCTAAGTTATATTCCCTCAGTAAAGTTACTGATATTAGCAACAAGATAAAAATATCAGGGCAGAATCAGTAACTAAATTCTGTCATAAAATAATATTATACCGGCATGCTTCACAGAGACATGCTGTGTCATCTAGAAACAATTGTTGCAGTACTGCTCCAATCAGACCATCCGTAGTAGTGATTTTTTTCCGTGAGACATCATGGCAAGCTAGGTTCCCAATAATACCAAGGTTAATTTCCTGTTTACATGTAATGACTTCATCAAACCATCTCTCAAGTTGAGTCATCAGAATACCTTAATATAATGAAGTAAACCTCCAAAAAGAAGAAGGATCCAACAGAAGAATAAAGGAAGACTTACAGTAATCCGGGCAGATTTTGAGACCATCAGAGTCGCCAAAAGCACTTCAAGAGCAAAGTTTTCAACCTGCACATAGAACTTAATCATCCCTCTAAAAACTTGAGTAGTGAACATGTGCATATGGAAGGCTATCCTCCCAATAAGCATATTCAACCCCCCTGACCCCTGATCCTCTTTTTCTTTGGATAAGTTTATAGAGCTTTGATCATCCAAATGGGAAGTTTCTTTCCTAAGCTGTTGGAAGCTCTTCTCTAATTTGTATATACAGCAGGGTACACCAAGCACCAACCATCTGAAACGGAAAAATTGGATGCCAGTATCTACAGAAGAAACCTCCTCTTCTTTCCTGAAAATATTCTCAATGACATAAGAATTCCAGCGTCTACGCCTAGGCCTAAGTCTCTTCAGAATAAATGCTTCTTAACCAGAGCTTCAACTAAGAAACTGGAAGGCCTCTTTTGCAAAGCCTTCAAAATGCCCCTGATTGTATAAAAAATTCTTATCACAACTATTAAAAACACAAGGAACCTCCTCTTCTTTCCTGAAAATGTTCTCAATGACATAAGAATTCCAGTGTCTACGCCTAGGCCTAAGTCTCTTCAGAATAAATGCTTCTTAACCAGAGCTTCATCTAAGAAATTGGAAGGCCTCTTTAGCAAAATCTTCAAAATGCCCCCGATTGTATAAAAAATTCTTATCATAACTATATAAAAAAATACACAAGAAACCTCCTCTTCTTTCCTGAAAATATTCTCAATGACATAAGAATTCCAATGTCTACGCCTAGGCCTAAGTCTCTTCAGAATAAATGCTTCTTAACCAGAGCTTCAACTAAGAAACTGGAAGGCCTCTTTTGCAAAGCCTTCAAAATGCCCCTGATTGTATAAAATATTCTTATCATAACTATAAAAAATACAGAAAACTTCTGCTTTTATTCTTAGGTAAATATCAAAAACAGAAAAGAATGGGTGAAACGACCCACTCTTCCTCCAGCCAACCGAAAAAGATCAAGTTCCTAGACAAGTAGAAGTTCTAAATACCATGAATTCAGCGTGAGTTTTACTAGCTGCTAGATCCCATAAAATACAGCCAAACTCTTCCCAAGTCTCTTCTCCTACTGCCACATCCTCACACTCATTTTGACAATAGAACTTGTCATCTACTGATTGTTTGACAAAAGTTTCAACATTCTTCATATTTTCAGACTCATCAATAGACCAACTCTGGCCTTCTTCATTCTCAGGTGGAGAAGATGTGGTTATCTTGCTTCTCTCTCCATGCTTCACATTTTCTGGTAGGAGCTTCCGGATCAAAGATATTATATAAGCAGGATCAACTGTGGTTGTTATATCAAATAGCTGCAGAATAAATCATAGTACCTTGAGAGAAGAAGCCAAACAAATTGAAAAAAGAATCTAAAAAACAAATGCAGGCTTAATCTATCAAAAACTTTTGAGCAAGAAGTAACAAGTTTCTGACATAAAATATAAAGAAAAAATAAGAACACGCAAGTAATAAGTAGCAGTCTTCTATTTATGTGATGCACAAGCGTTGCTAAACCAGCAGTCAGAAACACTCAACATGCAATATTGGTCAATCTTCCACTTGTCAATGTTAAGCATGAGTAAGAGAAGTTTCAAATGGGTTACAGTTAGTGCCTCTGTAACCAGATATTCCTGGATTCCAATAATTTATCGAAAAGGCCAATTTTGTATATATAGTCGTTAAACTTTTAGCTGATTGTACCAACCAAAAAAAGCTTCACTTAACCACATAGTTCTTTGTTGTTGCCCTAGTAGAGCAAGTAACAAAGATGAAACATTCTCTTTGTGCAGTTTTCCTTTCTCACTACACTAATGCAAGGATTCTTGTCAGTCTAGAAGTATCTATCTTAGAAAAAAAAAATTGATTAGCATTAGGGGCCAAAAGTCTAATAAGGTCGTCATCAACATAATATGAGTCAAAATTGGTAAAACATAGACAAATTTTGATGAATTTCCCTTCATTTCAAAGACATAATCCAGCAAAAGTGCAATCATTTTTCCTCACAAAGGCGAACAGGGTCAAGTAATATCTTTTTTTTTTATAACCGAGAAATCCGTCTGTGACCCGCCCTTTGGACCAATCACAGCCTTCTACATTCGGTGGATAATGGGCCCGCCCCTCTACCCTTCTCCACTTAAATACCGGGCTTCGCTTTGCGTGGTATGGGGATTGAACCAGTGACTTAAGCCACAAATCCTCCACCTTTTCCCACTCGAGCTAAGCCTTGGGGGCAACTGGGTCAAGTAATATGAAACGGAGGAAGTGTTAAATTGTAGAAGAAAACAATGAGTACTTTTCAATCCAGCAAAAGTGGAATCATTTTTCCTCACAATATATCAGCTTCTAGATATGGAGTTAGCAGGAATTTAGTACGCGGATGACATCATTTCAACCAGATTCCTTACATGATGCATTAGCTATTGCATTGGAAAAATAATAAAGTAAATAAATTGCAACAAACGTAAGTCTTCCACGAGTATTAACCAATAGAACCCTAATTAATTCAAATCTCAGACTATTCAAAGACACAGTATTAACATGAATTGGTATATTTCTGGGTGATGAATACATTTTCATGGATTACCTCACCGGAAGGAGCAGGAGGGTGATGAGTACTGCTCTGAAATTCTTGTTCCGGTGCTTCTTCGTTATGTCCAGAGGGAGATTCCGATGGAATTGACATACCGGAGCTAGAGACTGTAAGCTAGGGTTTTCGCGCTCTTTGATCCTTCTTTTTCCCTTTTGAATGGCGAAATCGAGGAAAGACAGCTTATATAGTACCTGATAGATTATTGCATTTTTACATTGATTATACAGTGGTTAATTACGTACTGTTTTTTGGGATCAAGATATAGAGTAGACTAACCATTTCCTTTATTCAAATACTATATAATTCCAATCCAATCTCACATATATATAATTTTTTATAATTGTGGTGTTCGAACCAGCTTGCATGCACAGATAAAAAGAATTTAACTAGTATTTTATCTTTACTGAAAATTGAACGTAATGACTTCTTGATGTCCAACCTACTTCATTGACCACTAGAGCACACCTTTGGGTGTCTATCTCATACAGTATAATTACTTATCCGAACGTTTTAGATTTATTAGATTTTCATATGAAGCAAATTTTCTTCCCCTCAATGGTTGCGTTGAAAATGACTATAATTATGCGTCTTACTTTTAATGCGTAATTTTCATTTACATTTCGCATTAAGAAATTGCTTGAATTGGCCGTCAATACAAGGACAAATGGATCGGTGATTCACTATTCAAAAGACAACATTAGTAATCAGTACTCATATATGGACTGATAATGATCTCAGGGGGCGGAGCTATTACGTGTCCACCTTCATCGGAAAAAAATGTCATAAATACAAGTAAAATAATATACAAAGTGATTGAATAACATATTTTGGACACCTTTGAGTTTGACATAATAGGTTGTTGTAGCCTAGTGGTGTCAGACAACTCAAATGAGCTAGTACTCACGTCTTCGAATTTGACTAGCAATAATTGTGCCTGGAGACCCTTCATGAAATTCCTGGCACTGCCACGGATTATGATCCAATAAATCACCATTACATGATTCATAGAACTTCCCTCAACAATTTTAGTATTGAGGTTCAATTGATTGATGATAGAGTTGTTCCACCTACAACCTCGTAAATATACATTGAATAGATCTTATTTTTGTTGTTGTTTCAGCTTTGTCCAATGTACTCCTATAATATTGTTAGTTAAGAACCAAGGGAAATACTGTATCCAATTGGCGATTCCCAGTTAAGCCATTTGAGATTTAGGTTTCCATTTGGCTATGAGTAGATGGCTCTGCAGCATAATTTATAGCTAGCGCCATCATGTGTTTTGTGGGACTTGGCATATACTCTTGTAATTTGTTACAGTAACATGAATTCGGTATTCATTTTCATTTCATCCATAAGCAAGATCCTATGATTTGCTAGGAGCAAAAGAAAAGACAGTTGCTGCAGAAACCGCATGGGCAGTAAGTTTATACCGCGGATGACAACAATATTGTAAGTGTACTCCTACATAGTGAGGCATGTAGAGGTTGAGAGTATACACTGATGTAACCTTACATTGGAGGTAGAGAGTGGTTTCCAATAGACATTCAGCTCAAGGAAAACAGTTCAAAGCAGTTTGGAAGAAGAAATAACGACAGTGAAGGAGCCAAGTCAAAACATTATAGAAAACATGACAACATTCTAAACAGTAAGTTAAACAAAATAAGAGATAAACGAAGTACAAGAAACAACAATAAATAGTTGAAGCGAAGCATAAGATACTTTCTTGTTATGTAATATAGCAATTAGCATCCAACCATAGGTCACTAGATTTTGACATCAAAGATTTTAATGTTCTTTCACTTGCATCATCAAAGGAAAGCCAAAATAATAAGAATCCAATCGAAGGGTGGCTCATAAATTGTCCACCAAAAGTTATACAACCAAAAGAATCTGTTTCACTCACCAAACCAACACCAACGTGCTGCTTCGGTACATGTTTAAACTTGCCTGCTCCCCTAATGTTAGAGAAAGAAATTCTATCAGTCAGGACCCAGCCTAGCAAATGGATAGTTATTAGTATTTGCTTAATTCAACTCACAGTTCATGTAAGGATGTACGATTCTACCCACAGTGAAGCAAAGGAGTCATTCCTTCAATTTCCAAATGCTCACAGCACTGCTTTCACCTGAAACAAAGCTGTCAATTGCAGGCGAACAGTATCAACTGTTTTTTTTTTCTTTTTTCCCTGTTTGATAAATTAGAACTGCAGTAGCACTAATGAACACCACATGAAAGTAGGATCAGGAGAAACAGGGACAGAAATGTAACATCACATGGATGGTAGGACAACTAAAATACAAAGATTTAAGACTAGTAAGTTCTCAAAGAAGCCAAGAGTGAGTACATGATGTTCAACTTAAAAGTACAATTTCCAGATAACAAAGAGAGCAAACGAGCTGCAGTTTGCCCAGTTACTCTGACACACTGTAGTAAAATGCTTCAACCAATGACACAATGCCGCTGAAGATTATCACCTTAAGAGATTGAAGAGGGGCAAATAAAATTGGCATAAAAGAAATAAAACTAATCATGGTCCATTTTCTAACTTTGATAAGGGATCAAAATTTAAATGAAAATGTTAAGTAGCGCAACCTGGACCAGTCAACTATGTCTTCTTAGCAAGATTTGAAGATTGAGAAGCTTTGACTGGGCCTGGAGCCCCATCAATTGCAATATTACCCACTCTAACTTCCATTGCCTCCCTTTCATCCTTCTCTCGGTTGTTCTTCGGACCATGGTTTTCAGTTGCTTCAGATAGAGAATTAGTCGAAGAAGTAAGATGTCGAGGGCCTCCAGTAATCCATGGATGACTAAGACATTGAGCTGCTGTCGGTCTTTTCTCAGGCACAAAGTCGAGCATAGGTATAAGGAAATCTGCCATCTCATTCGCATCTTGTTCGCATAAATCATACTTTTCCATGAGCACTTTACTGAGAGTCCAGAACCGCAAGCGCCTGATGTGCCTCAGTTCTCCATTTCGGTTAAAAAATTCTCTTGAATGGCGTCCACCTAAGGCAATCTGCAGGAATATTGATAATTAGATATATTGCGGGGTTATTTCAATCAGAACCAGCCTTTGGTTGCTTCTTGCCAGACATAGAAACATACCTTGCGTGGCATCGTCCCCAGAAGCTCCATCATGAGGGCCAAGTGATCCTGTCAACACCATTTAAGTGAACAATTAAGTAGGTGTTCGGACATTAAAATGTGATATTTGAAAGAAAAAATGGAAAAAGTTATTTGGAAATTAATTGTGTTTAGACATGCGTTTAACTTGAAAAAAAAAGAAGTAAATGTTATGCAAGTACAAACAACATCATTTACAAAACTGGTCAAAACCACTTTTTCAACCTTGAAACTCATCTCCAAATTTACTTTTAAAAAATCAGTCCAATGTATGATCAAAGACCTATTTGATTTATTTTTTTTAAAAAAGGAAAAAAATACATGTCCAAAATGAACCCTTAAAAGAAGCATTAAAAACTAAAGAATTATTTAAAAAGTTCCTACAATGAAATCAGACGGAAGCTAATCTACCAATAAAGATAACACAGAGTCTGGCATTAGAACATTGAATAGAAGCAAGCAATCTAGTATAGAATAGGGTCACACGAAAAGAAAACATGTTTATCAGAAAGACTTGGCAAGCTAGGGCCACTAAAAAGAATTCTTGCTTTCACTGACAAAGTGAGTCAGATTTTTATAAGCAAGCTAAAATGACGAACAATAAATTTTAGCAAAACCATTAAAGAGTAACAATAAATAATAGTCCCAAGTGACAAACAATTTGAGCATCCATGCAAAAACTGAAGGCAATGGATGGAGTGACCGAAGAAATTATTAACTCCCTTAGATCTTTAACAATGAGGACGGTGGTATGCCCCTAGCATCCACCCCGCGCATGTAACATGGTTCTAAAGTTTATCTGATCATCTTTGAAGACTTAAATCTTTTATGGGGTTCCCACGACATTTTGTTTGCTAGGTTAAGTCAATATCTAAGAGATGCTATTGGAAATGTATAAAGACCTAAACTAGTTAATGGGACCCAAAAATCTAGCTGTTTGAGCGATCTTCGCTCTTTCTTCCTATACAATGGACAGCAAAAAACATTTTCATAGCTATCAATGCAAGAAGTACAGAACCTCAATCTTTTAGTTATAAAAGACATATGTCAAAAGGTGGGGGATGTGGACTCAGCCTATCTGAACATTTTTTAATCATAACAAGAAATCCTGCATGCTACTGGAACAAAGTGGGTGTAACATTTCTTCAATGAAGCAACATGTTTTTAGTTCCAAGATTCATCATTTTCTCACTTTGAATCTTGTTGGTGAACTTAAGGAATTGCCTAGAGTGTGCTTGCTTCTTTTACCTCACCAAAACCACAACACTTCTGACATAAGTTTCAAGAATCATCAAGCAAAAATAAAGCACTTTTGATATACCAATAGGCTTCCATGACATTAGAGTCCATCAAATTGGCACATCATGCTCATAACATACACATAATAATTAGCTTAAGCCACAAATAGATTTAAACACTAACCAAAGTCCTACCAAAGAAAATTGTTTGTGCATGTCAGAATGGAAATGGTGAAATGATCAAAAGTAAAGTTGTTGTACCTCATCTCTGTCATAATTGTCACCACTGTGAGGATCAAAAAGAACATCACCTGTGGTGAGCTCAAAGCAAATGCAAGCAAGGGACCAAAGATCTGCTGAAGTAGAATACTTAGCGCCCAGTATAACCTCCGGACATCTATACTGTCTTGTCTGGATATCACTTGTAAATTGTTTATACGTCCAACATGCATTACCAAAGTCAACTAATTTGCACTTAAGGTCAACATCAGCCAATAGCTTCTGCCTATCAGACCGGCTGCCTCGTTTATGTCTCTGAATTCTTTGGCGCCCTTCCTTTGTTGAGACATCTCCACTGGCTTCAATACTAGTTTGTTCCTCAACTGAGTTCGCTTCAGGTTTTTCATCACAAGTAGAGTCTTCAGGACCAATAGTTTCATTATGTGGTTCAGTCTCCTCAGAAGCTTCCTTGTCGGCACACTTTTGAGCTACCCGCTTAGCCTTTTTTCGAATTTTCTTTTTCTGGTTCTTGGTCAGGTCACCATTTAAACTCTTCACAGCTTTAGAAACCCCAGATTCAGAGAGAATCTT